CCGATATTCTCCCATGACACAAATTGTTTTCGTGCGTGTATCATATGTTGTGTTAAAACATTCTTTACTATTCAATGGTCTTCAATATACGATTGACTCTTTGCTACAGTAATGCGTGTTCCTCGAATGGTTTGTATATGTTACTCAACAGTTGGCATTGGCTAGGGGAGCACCGGAATCAATTTTTAAATTTCGGGCTGAAATCGGATCTGGCCGCAACTGGAAAAAGTTCGGGCTGGAACCAGAACTGATTCATTAAGTGATATATGGTCATATGTTACTTTGTCTGCTGCCAGACAGACACTTTCAGTCATCAAGGAGAGAACACGTTAATAATGTACCTTTACCTTGTGTAGTCCAAATTTCTTCCTATGCTATTCAATAAATAAACTTGATATGCTATCTCTCTGAAAAGGACACATTTCTGGTTCTGGCCATGGTTTTTTTATTAGTTCCGGCCGGAACTATGAAAAATCAGGGTTCCGGCCACAACAGCGTTCTAGTACACCCCTAACATTGGCAGTGTAAACAACAAGTGACAGAACTTTTGCTTCATATGCTTACCATAAAGTTTTGAAATGTTGGTGTTAGTGTTACCTCGTGCCATACAGGTTACTTTTTGCCAGTTAGGATTACCAATGCATACACAATAGTTGCTCCAAAACTTTATTTATTATTGTTATATAAACTTTGATTGGTTATATATAGATTATATCTCACACTTAATATTTCTATCTTGATCTGACTTCAATTCGTCGTTGATGTTACCTCTTCAAGAGCGTAAACTTAACTCCCTAACATGTGTTCTCAACACAGTCTATATCATGCACTATTATTTATTAGAGACCTTAAGATTGACGTTTTTCCTGTTTACCGCAAACGACAAACCGCGGTTTGCGGTTTGCAGTTTGACGTTAGCCGTTCGCCCGAATTTGGTCTTTAAGATTCCCGGAAGGCAATTAATTACCCACCAAAAATAGCAAAACAAGATGGCGGCTGCAAGAAGGTAATTGTATAAATTGTGTTATCATTTTTTCTCTACTTGATTAAATAGAAAATGAAATGGGCAAGACTCATGTACTTATCTCTACTTAATTAGGCAAGAGTATAAAGATATATTAGATGTGATGGCACTAGAGAGCGAGGGTAGTTCAGACAGCGATTCGAGCGATGAAGACCTTGACGTGCTATTTCTCGAAGCAGCCTTTCCTGAACCACGTTCACTGGGGCCTCGCTTGAATATAGAGGATGTTAGTGAGGTTGACTGCGAGCAGATGTTTAGGTACATGTAGATCGGTCTATTTTATGCCCATGCACAAATTTGCATTACTGACAAATTATTATTAAGTTTCCATATACAAAACAAGTCAAACAAAGGATATAGATCGAAGCAGCTTCATAAATAAATTTAAACATATTTTAAACACCTATTGTTTAATACTGTATTTATTAATATTTTTAATACTGTATTTATTATTATTATTACTTTATTTATTAATATTGTTTGGGCGGCCTATAGTTTTGCTGAATCTCAGGTTGAAGTTGTCATATACATCTGTATTTGTCTGTGACATTTCAGATTCCAAAAAAATGATATGTACCGCCTCATGGAGGCCTTAGAAATCCCTGACAGCTATACCAGTGACCAAGGAGTAATTTTCTCTGGCATGGAGTGCCTAATGATCCTGCTTAGGCGTCTGTCCTACCCAAATCGGCTGTGTGACCTTGTATCTACTTTTGGAATAAGTGAACCAGAGCTGAGCATGGCCTTTAAAATGGTAACCATATAAAACTTGAAAACAATTTTTGAAAATCTAATAGTGAAGTGGCATATATTATCTCTTGGAGTTCCATCAAATTTTATTTCTTGCTTTCAGATCATAGATGACCTGTATTCACGGTTTAACCCCCTCCTAACATCACTGTATTTGACATGGTTGGAACCAGATCTATTTGCAGATGCAATACACAGAAAGGGGGCTCCGCTCAACCAGGTCTGGGGGTTTATAGATGGAACTGTACGTCCAATTGCAAGGCCCATCAGGAACCAACGGATCATGTATAGTGGGCACAAGAGGACACACTGTATAAAATTCCAGGCATGTTATTGTTGAAACCTTGTTGTTGTATTAAAATTAAATGAAGAAAAAGTGAAGTTTAAAACTAATTTATATAAGGCATGGGTGATGAAAAATTTCTAATTATACTTTTTGTTTGCTATAGTCTGTGATAGCACCAAATGGAATTATTGCACACCTCTTCGGCCCTATTGAAGGACGCCGACACGATGCTTTCATGTTGGGGGAAAGTAATTTGATACCACTACTTGAAGGAATTGTGAAGCCGAATGGAGACCCGTATGTGCTCTATGGCGATCCTGCTTATGGAATCTCTAAACATATTATTTCTCCCTTTAGGGGTGCCCATTTAACTGAGCCAGAAAAAAATTTTAATGCTCATATGAGTAATGTTCGTGTATGTGTAGAATGGGGGTTTGGTAAGATTACTCAGTATTTTGCTTACCTAGATTTTAAAAGAAATCTTAAGGTCCTGTTGCAACCCATTGGAAAGTATTATATGGTTGGTGCTCTTCTTATTAACTGCCACACATGTCTATATGATTCTGTCACTGGTGTCTATTTTGGTTTGGGGCCACCTTCATTAGAAACATGCTTATCTAACAATTAGAAATTTGTAGAAAACAAATACGTGCTCATAACATTGTAAACCTATCATTTAATAAATATAAATACATTTTGTAGTATTTAAAACAACATAAAATTTGAAACTCAACATCCCTTTTAAAAATATAAATATACAGTACTTGAAGCGTCTCTTGTTCCCCTATACTATAGTCTGTCTCTCAAGACCTGCAGGAAAATCCTCCTCTCTTCTAATTCAAACTTCAGTCTCTCTTTTCTTTCTTCAGCCTCCTCTTCAAATCTTTTTTTTTGCAGTTCAAGTTCCTCAGCTCTTAATTGAAGTTCCTTTTCTTTAAGGTCTGTCTTTCGTTCATTTTTCTGTTCGAGCATCTGGACTGCAGAAAGTCTTGATGCTCTCTTCTTTATGGCCTTCCTTTTAGTGGCTAAATAGATAATCATTTTTAATGGGTAGAGTTTGGGAGTTGTAGCAAACAGTAATTTGAAAATATAAAGGGGTCGTCCATTTAGTACATAAGCAACTAAGGGTCAAATATTTCACATTTTTTTGCATACGCCCTATTGTTTATGTGATGTCATATCTATTCTTCTTTGTGTACAAGGTACATACTAAATGGCCGACCCCCAATAAACCCCTCCCCTTAATAGCTTCCTTTTCCTTAAGTTCAATATAAATAGCTGCATAATTTCCTAGTACATCCTCTCCAACTTTGCTATTGTTAGTAATAAATTAAGCTCCCTCACTTGGAAATCCTGCATTCCTAGTATAGACTAACCCAAATGCCATCGCTCATTGATAATTGGCTTGAAATAGGGGCTGCACCGGTACCTTGGCCATGACTTAAAACAATACATTGGGCCTCTTACCTTGTGCCTGAATTGCACCTCCAGAGGAACTGCAGAAGGAATCCTCTTCTGAGGAATTCTCATCCTCACTGCTACTCCCTGTGCTGCTTTTACGCTCTACAACAGGTGCAACAAGCAAAATAGCAGAACATTTAAGTGACAACTTTGGGTGAGGACTGGGGCTAGTGCAGGCATGGATTTGGCACCGCCCCCAAAAGTTTTTGCACCCCCGCAAATTATATATATTTTTATTTGATAGTTTCATATTTGATTATTCTTACTACTAAATTTGTAAAATGACCAATATTATGCTCTCAGATCTCGCCATGCAGGCTAGAAAACAAAATTTTGTTTAAATTTTCCTTGGCCTTTCCGGGTGTTGCCACCACGCCCCGGCCAAAGCAGGGCTAGTGCTCTTTCATTTGCAAAAAGTACTAAGTATTAAATATACTGATGGCAACAAAGAAATTTATTCAAGTCCATTTTATATTTGTATACTTACTTGCAAGACCTTCCATTGCTTTCCTCCTCATTTCTATTCCTGCATTCCGATCCTCAATTTCTTTATTCTTCTTTTTTTCTTTCTCCATTGCCTCCCTTTCCTTTATTTCTTTCATATCCCTTCTAAAGGTTAGAATATCATCCAGTAGCTGGCTCAATTCTCCATATTCTTCCTCAGTACCAGACCTGGTGTAATAGTGGTGTTCAAAAAAAGTATTTTGTCTACCACAAAAATCCAAAATAAATTTGCTTCAAATTTCAAAAATGATCAGATCAAAACAGCATTTTTAGAAAACAAGCCTGTGTTTTGAAGTATGGTCATGACTTTTTGGTTTATATTTTAAACATTAATCTCTTACTTTTTTAATGATTTTTTGTCTTCTTGTTCGTGCTTTTCCAGCAAATGATCCATCCGCTCGCGGCAGCCACGGCCTTTAAGTTCTATTTTCTTCTCTGTTGTGCTAAATGCTTCGCTTAGAACGCGTGCGATTTCATCCCAATCGTTAGGGGTTTGCGGCTTTCTTACGGCCACCTCTTTCGCTAGTGCTAAGTCATTTCCCAAGGCTGGCCATCTGAAAGGTGGCATCTGGAAAAGAAACACCATTTAAGATTATATTTCGTACAATACTACACGAACACAAACAATTATTAAAGGCCAGGCGCCATGTTTATTTCCATACGATTACAGTCCCCTCTCAAATAAGCGTAAAGATTCCTTTAGGAATGCCGTTCTGATTCAAATATAACAATAATTAAGCAGCTAACAGATCATAAAATAAAAATTTACTTTTGAAACGTGGGTTTGTAATGTTTAACATAGCTAAAAAACCTGCCGTAATTCACTTACCTCTAGAATGTCTTCCTGCCGTGAAAACGTGAACTGCAGACGGCAAACCTGACGGCAGGGCCATGGTCACGTGTCTTCTTGACGTTCGCGGTTTGAGGTAAACGGGAAAAAACGTCAATCTTAAGGTCTCTATTGTTTTAATATACCACCTTCAAGGCTGCCCATATCACAGGACAACTGAACAATATGCTGATGGGGAGACAATATCTCAGATTTGTTGACATTTCTAATTGACCATTTGCGTAATAGACTAAATTTTGAACTAAACAAGTCTAGACAAAAATTTCATCACAGCTTGAAGGAGCATTACAAAATTAGTAATATTCCAATGTTTCGTTGCAAAATGTTGTAAAATGCGGAAAATATAGCCTTGCGAAATTTGCAATTTTCAGTCATTTTAGATTACAAACGGGAAATTGACAGCCCCAAACCCTTCGAGGCTGTCAATTTCCGGTTTGTAATCTAAAATGACTGAAAATTGCAAATTTCGCAAGGCTATATTTTCCGCATTTTGCAACGAAACTTTGGAATATTACTAATTTTGTGATGCTCTTTCAAGCTATAATGAAATTTTTGTTGAGATAAAAATTTAGTCTATTACGCAAATGGTCAATTGTGAGCATTACTGTGAAATGTAGTGACACAGCCAGATGAATATATTACATATATGAATGTAGGCTGGTAGGATTATTTCATATTATGCCAACAATAAACACACAGTCAACTCATATCTTATACAAAAATCAGTTGACATACTATTACATGTAATCATATTGCTGGTATGAAGTCAATATGTGCAGAAAACAATCCACGCTGGGTTGCTCTAGGGATCTTATCACAGTAAGCCTGATTTAACAACATTCCGCGTTTGTTGTTATTAAAACTATATAAACATCTACAAATGAACACCATACTCGTCGTTTTGGCACATAACAAACAAATATTAAAGCTGAGTACATTGTGATTCGTATTAAAATAAGGCATTATTGACGAATAGATCTGGTGGGCTATTATACACTGCCAGTAAATTCATGAAATATTTCAAAGCTCTTAAGCCTAGTTTCCATTTGGTCGTTAGTTGTCGCTGGCACGACAAGTGGCTGATGTAAAAGAGTGTCAACAAAACTTTATAAAACTCTGCAATCATTAAGACTGATTTGCATATAACACACAAAAAGACTATTATTATATTAGACTATTTCACATCTACCGCT